GGACTTTTTATTTTTTTTTGGCGGTTTTTTGTCTTTCATTATTATAATATTAATTATTTTTAGGAGAAATAAGAACCTGATTATTAGTTTTGACGAGGTAAAAATTGCCCCCTAATTCGAGAATTAAGTTTGCTTCTTTGCTGGTAAACAACTGCTTATAAACCTCATTGAGGAGTTTTTTTTTCCTCTTTTGGAGTATCCCGCCGGTGGCTCGATTAATCCAAAAATAAAGTAAGCGTAAGTATACCTCGGGAGAATATTTATTAACCTTATCAAGTCTAAGAACCGATGCAGAAATAATTAGTTGTTTAGCAGCGATTTTAACTAATTTTTTAATTTTTTTTAATTCTTGGTTTTTTTCTTTAATTTCTTTTTCCAGACTTTTTTTTTCTTCTTTGCTTAAATCATCTAACTTCTGCCGAATAATATTGCGTTGATAAATAGGCAATTGGTTAGTATTATCAACCGCATAGTCTATTTTATTTTCAGTTAAATAATGGCAAATCTGCTGCTTATTAAGGGATAAAAGCGGACGAATTATTCAATATTTTCCCTGTTTGGTTTTGGATGGCAATCCTCAATATTCAACTAATGATTTTCTTTGTTTTTGTAGCAAGTAGGTTTCCAAATGGTCGTCTAAATGGTGAGCCACCGCAATATATTTAGTTTGGTATTTATCGGCTAATTTTTGCAAAAAGTCATAGCGGATTTTGCGGGCTCGGTCTTGAAAATTGCTAATGGAATTGTGCTCGGAGCCTTTTACCTGGTAAACTTCGCAGGGCAAAGAATATTTTTGACAATAATTCCTCACCACCTTTTCGTCATAATCACTGTTCTCTCTTTTTTTATAATTGACATGAGCGACCACCAAACTATATCTTTCGCAACGCATTTTTTCTAACAAGAACATGCTGTCGGGACCACCCGAAACGGCTAGGACATATAGCCTATTTTTAGTAAGTGATTTATTATTGGCAAGCAATCGAAAAGGACTATTCAATTTTTCCAGCAATAATATCATTAACTAAGATAAGAATTAACATAAACGAAGCCCTGGGGAGATTTAAAGGATTTTTTGGTTTCTGACTAATTTTCTTTAAACCGCCTTTTTATTTCTTTTCCTAATCAAGTAAACCACCATTCCCACTACTAAAACCACGCTAGCCCCAATAGTTAAACCAATTGCTAGTTGATGGTTATTTGGTTTTAGATTAGTAGAATTATTAGTATCAGATTTAATCCCTAATTGCTCCTTAGTAATTTCGCTTTCATAATTTTTTTGACAATATTCCTTTAATGTTTGGTATTCCGAATTATTAGTCAATTGGCTATTACTTATAGTTTCATTATTATTATTATGAACAATTATTAATTCCCCATTTTCAAAAGTTATCTTTTTAATATTTAATTTTTGGAAAATGATTTTTAATTTTGCTAATTCGGTATTAGTTAGTTTTGAATTATTGACTGGCAAAGGTGAACCATTGATTAGGGCTTCAATTTCGGGTCAATATTTTTTTATTTCGCTAGTATTTCCACCTCAATAATGATTAATTGCTAATTTTCAATACCGCCGGCCAGACGGCTGATGTTTAACCAATTGATTTAGGCTTTTTTTGCTATAATTTTCATTTTTTCCCCACTCAATTTTTCACTCGGAAGGATTTTTTCTAATCTCTTGTATTATTTTCTTAACTAATTCTCTTTTCACCTCATAATACTCAGGGCAAGAATTATCTCAATTCTCCAAATCTATCTCCTCGCCATCAATGATTATTTTCAAGTAGCGGTTTTTTCATTCCTTCTGATGCGGCGAGTTAAACGCTTTTTGGTATTCTTCCTCGGCTCCGTCTGTTTTCAAATATTCATTATTCGCCAAATAGCCAAATGGGTCCAAACATATTTTATCCAAGTTTCGCAATAATTTTTCTTTTATGCGGGAATTATTATTTTCCTGTGGCTGCTCTTTGCCCGCAAAATATTTTTTGGCACATTCGGGGTGGAAATAAGCAATAATGTTAGGATTTGAACCCATTCTTAATTTTCTTCCACTTCACTCAGCCATTTGCCCGCTTTCATAGGAAGTTAATTTTCCACAACTTTTACACTTTTTTGAATTACTTTTATCATGATTAAACCGATACAATTTTCCTTCCGCATAATCCAAAATGTCTCAATCATCATTACTATTGTTTGCATTAACTCGATAATAGAAGTCAGTGCCTTCTTGGTCGCCTTTTTCATAATCTAAATTGTCAATCCCATGCGGAAAATTAAACTTTTCGCGGCAAAACTTTTTTACCCGAGGGGAAAGAATTTTAATATGAACTCCTTTGCTTGCTTTTTTAATTAAATTTGGAGTCACAAATTCAAAATCAGCCCCCTCCTGATAATCTGCTTTAATTTGTTGTATTAATTCTTGAATTTCTTCAATTACATTATTGTTTTTTGCCATAGTCTTTAATATTTTAACTTTATTATATAATAATTTTACAATTTTGAATAGAGACCCAACTACTTTTGATTTTCTTTTTCTTCTTTATTTCAACCGTGTTTTTTGAGAAAATCATTGACGGATTTTCTTTCTTCGGCAGTCATTCCGTCCTTTTCTTCCCTCTGCCGATAGTCAGGGTCAGCCTCATCTTTCACCGGCATTAGGAAGAACTTACTTAACATATACTTAATGGCATAGGTTTCACTGGAACCTTTGGCTTTGGCTAAGTCCACATTACTACCGGCCGCTCAAAAGTTAAATAATAATCTCTGTTCAGGGCTTTCCGCATCTACTATCTCTAATTTTTTTAAATATTTAATAAAATGTTCTTTGCCCTCCCTTTCATGGATAAAGGGTTGGGTAGTATCATCACTTAACAAGAGGGTTAGTTTATATTTATTCAACAAAGGTCTTAATAATTTTAGTACTTGTAATTCATTAAAGAACTTATATTTTTGGAATTTATTTTCCTCGGTGCGAATGAGTTCTTTAATTTCGGATTGGAGGAGGTGGAGTTTAGTGTAGATATTTAATTTTCCCATCGCTATTATTTTTCTTTAATTGGAGTTAGAGCCTCCGGAGAGCTTATTTTAGCAAATTCATCTAACAAATTATCGGGGTGAATTTTTTTGAGACAGGACTCTACTTCATTTTCTCGGTCGACTAAACTTTCTTTTCCCTTGGAAATTAATAATAACTCCACTCCTTCATAATCCAAAAATTCGCTAGTAGTAAGAGGGATAAATGAATAATTGGTAAATTTATTTTGTAAAGAAGGAGGAAATTTAACTTTTTGCTTTTCCGTCAGCCCAACACCGGGGGAGGTAGCCGCTTGGGGATTTTTGATACTAATTAAATAATCATCCTCCTTTTGTAAATTAAACTCCTTTTGAATTTCTCTAACTTGCGAAGGATTAGTTAACTGATATATAAAATGAGTATGGTCGTTATGAACCACCAATAAATATTTTCCGGCTCCAAGGCAATGGGAAACTGGTAAAGTTCGCTCACCTCTGATTTTAGTTGAATATTGTTTTTCACTTAACGCCGACAATAATTCTTCCTTCTTATTTTTAATGGCTTCCAAAAACAAAAAATAATTGTTTTTTTCGGTAGGAGGTAATTGTTTTTTTCCGACAATTAGCAATTGATATTTAGGTTGGTTTTGGGGTTGTAAGACGAAAAAAAAACGTTGTACTTCTTTGGGGTCGCTTTCGATTTTTGGACGATAGAAGAAGTAAATACTACCGCCTTGTAAAACACTAATTTTCTTTGCCATAAACTTTATTTTATTTATTTTAATAGTTTTTGTGTTGTCGTTCTCAATTGATTTTATTTTTTGTCAGATAGGCATTTTCAATATCTTTTTCACTCTTCATTCCTAATTTTTGGCATAATTCTTCAAAAATTATTAATCAGCGGTAGAAACTGGCTTTATTTTTTTCTTCGTTAATGCCGTCTAAAAAACAACTATTCATTTTTTCTATTTCTTTTTCATTTGTGAAATTTTTTCTTAGCCATGGATAAATGTTGACAGTGATACGCGAGAGAGTGATTAATTCTCGGTTGACTTGTTTGTTAATCTCATTCTGGACTTTTTCTGCTGTTCTTATATGCCATTCTCGGTGGCATCATCTAACTTCGCCATTTTTTTTAACTTTACCTTTGCATTTTTGATTTTTGCTCCGTTTTATAATTTCCTCCCTAATTTTCTCTGCTATCCTTTTATTAGTTGTTATTCGATCATCATCACTTATCACTAGGTCATTTTTTTGCTCAACTATATTCGAAAAAGCATTTAAACTAAATTCCCCCGTTTCCGAAAAGAGAGCCAACAACAACTCATTGTAATCAGTCTCGGGGGCTAATTTCTGAAACTTATAATCCGCAAAATCAATTTGAAAACTGTTCGCCCAACTTAAATAAAAGTGTAAGCAGTCAATTAATTCTTCTTTAACTTTATCTCAATTAACCTCTTTTTGGCTTTTTCAATGCTTAAAAGTTTTTAATTCATTGGCTAATTCGCCAATTTCTACCAACAGGGCAATTTTGGTGCGGATAAAACTTTTTTTACTATTAGCGTCAGTTATATTTTTTTTCTGAACAATGAACTCATCCAGTTTTTTTTGTTCGATTTGTAATTTTTGGAGAATTTGGGGAGTTAGCATTTTTTAGTTATTAAGATAGTTTTGTAATAGTTTTTTCATTTAATTTATTTTAATCGGCTGATATAAATGTCTTTGTTTCGCCGAACCTTTGGTCTCCAACAATTCCACTTTAATCCCATTTAAGGAACTAAAATCTAATAAATTGCCATAACTTATTTTTTCACTATCAAGATTAAAAATTGCGAAAATCTTTTGGCTAGTTTTTGGGACAATGCTATTGAGCAAATAAGCAATAATTTTTATTCCGTTAGATAAATAATTTAGAGCATAATTTAAAAGGGCGGTATTGCCTTTTTTGGCTAATTCTCAGGGGGCTAAATTAGAAATTAATTTGTTGCTTTCATCCAGCAAAGTTTGAATTTGAGAAAAAGCATTCGTGAGTTCATAATTATCCATTCTTTTTTGAAACCCTTGAACTACTGAATTACATTTTTTCTTATATTCCTCCAATTTTTCATTTTTTAACCCCTTTTCTAGTGGAAGTATA